CAAACCTAAACACAGACACTATGACGGTGGCATTAAGGTCTGAAGTCCTTTAGTGGGACCTGTGCTCACAACCGAACACCATGCAGATTAACTGGCATTCGCCTGAGAACACCAGAACTGGCAGGTCCTCCCACCAGCGTCCCGTTTTCCTCACAAATGATGTTGCAGGCAGCGAAACGTTCACCATGGTTACTCCAACTCTTTCAGGACTGACTTTTGCACATGGCTATTATGTGATGGATGAGAAATTAAAAATTCAAAGTGCCTGCAACCTTTACACTGTAACGTGTGGTGTATTATAAAGTGTGCTCACATTATACTTGGTATAGAGAAACACATTTGTCTAGTCTTAAACTAGTGAACAGATACTGTTAGTGAAGTAATAAACAGTATACAATGATTTCTACATTAAAACCATTTAACTGTTCATCTTAGTTTTCTCTTTGTAGGTTTGCCTGATGCCTCATCTGTCTTACTTTTGCACTGTGGTACTCATCCTCTGATGCATATCGGCCAAAAATATTAAACAAAATCCAAGTGGTTACAAATGATATTAATAAGGCTTTATTTATAATGATTTACTTTTCTCTGTGCTATTTATGTGAGACATTAACTTCCACCTTAAAGTTTTCAGTGTTTTCTCCACTCAGGTGCTCATCTCCAGGATGTTCTTCTACAAAGTGTTGGCCTGTCCTCTGCCAGTTTGTCAAAGCCAGTTGCTGACTGCTTATCTGCTTTAGTAGACAATGCTATGGTGCTTGGAGTGAAAGACACTTCACTGGGCAGGTATGTTTTTTTTCTGAGTCCCTAATTCATTGAAGTTGGCCAGTTTAAAAAAACAGGTGAGATAGACTGGCTCGTGTCTCGTCATCTTGTGTGCAGCTTTATGCCAGCTGTAAACAACCTCACTAGTGAACTTCTGGAAGCGGAGAAGTCAAATAGAAGACTTGAGAGAGAGCTCCGGGCCCTCAGAAAGAGACTCGGGTCAACTCTGGTGCTCCGGGGAAGTTTACAAGAGTAGGTACACAGAGGATGATACTGACCTGTTCTTATATGGATGATATGTAGCATATTTTATAATACTGGCAATCTTAATTTTCAGGGATATCAACAAAACTGTCAAAGATCAGGCAGTGGAGAGCGCTAAAGCTGAGGAGAAGCTGCTCAAAATGGATTTTGTGACAGCAAAGGTGAACGAGCTCAGTAACAGACGGGAGCGGTGCGAGGTATGTTGTTTGTGTTTCATTAGGTATACCTTGTTAGTGTAGAGTTGGACCCCTTTTTTTCTCATGAGACCAGGCTTTTTTTCATATCATTTTTCATATCTTTTTTTTAGAAATCCAATTTTTTCTTAGCCCAGGCAAATTGTTGCCTCAGTTTCCTGATCTTAGCTGACAGGAGTGGCACCCAGTGTAGTCTTCTTCTGCTGTAGCTCATCTGCTGCAAGCTTAGTTGTATTATATTCAGAGAGGTTCTTCTGCATACCTTGGTTGTAACGGGTGGTTATTTGAGTTACTTCCTGTCAGCTCAATGCAGTCTGGTCCTTCCCGTCTGGCATCAATGAGGCGTTTTCAGCCAAAAGCTACAATAATACAGTACTCCTGTCTGCACCTCCAACCATCAACCAGGTTCAAAGTCACTTTAATCCCATTTCTTGCTCATTCTGATGCTCTGTTTGAACTTCAGCAGATGGTCTTGATGCTCTGAGTTGTGATTGGCTACTTGTACTTGCATTACCAGTACTCCAATAGGCAGACTGAATAATGTGTATATTGCAGTGATATCTGAGGCAGTTTGAAAAAGAAAGAAGAGCTAGTGATAATACTGCCTGTACCATTTTTGCAGAACTCATCAAGATATTTAAAAGTGCTCTGTGTTTCTTTGTGTTGACTAAATTAATGGCAGGTTTGCTTTGGATGAGAAACTATAACAAAATGTACAAATAAGATTTTGCCCTGCAGCTTTAGAGGTACAGTTACCCTCCAGTTACAGTAAAAATATACATCATCAGAAGCCAAAAAGATCAATTTTATGTATATAAAACTCTAAGAATGGTCATAGTAAAGGAGAAAAGATGCAGAAGAAAAAGTATTTTTTAAAAACGTTTGAGGGATGGTATGATGCGTTGACGACACTACCACAAAAAAGAGATAAAGGTTTCAAATAATATAATAAAAGGTGTAGAAAAATGCACTGTTTTCCTCATTGGGATGACCAGTTTTCCAGATTTTTTGTCATGCATCAGTGTTTGATCTCCCACATATAATGTGTGCATCACATTACTGCCTCTAGTTTAGAGAACAGAGATGTTTCTGCAGAACAGGTCCAAGAGTTCCTGTTAATGTCAGGAGGGAGCAGATATTCTAAAGATCACTGATTTTATTCTGCTCTTTCTGTCCTGCAGGCTCAGCTTGTATCCAGGAACATGGACAAGTCTATCACCCACCAGGCTCTTGTGCAGCTGTCAGAGGTATTTCAGCTTTTCCACATGCGCCCCCATTCATTGCCATGGAAATGAAAATGTAATACCGTCTGCTTAGAGGGTCTGAAAGTGTCATCTTATTTTTCTCTCTACAGGAAGTCACCGAGCTGAAAAAAGAAATAATCCCCTTAAAGAAGAAACTGGAGCCCTACATGGACCTGAGCCCGGTATGTTTGTTTTCACTCTGTTACTGACTTTTAAAGACTCCACGACCAAACCCCTTAATCTGTCTTTATCCTTTTGGGTAATGTTTTTTTGCGCACAAATGACTTTATTAAAACCACCCTGAAGGAAAGGGTTGAACCGTGTTCAGACGTGTGGAAACAAACCTCCTGAATTTGGGTTTCTGAATTTTGTTTTTCCTCCTCTAAACAGAGCCCGTCTCTGGCTCAAGTGAAGATAGAAGAGGCAAAAAGAGAGCTGGTAAGCATCCTAAAAACTGGCTCAATAATGGATGAGATGTGGTGGCTGATTTATTGAATTTTATCCTATTTCTTTGTTTGTTTTCAGGCTGCACTTGATTCCCAGCTTGAGATGAATGTGGATTTTAAATAATTTGTCTAATGTTACTGTATTATTTACTGTGTTTGTTAAATAATAAAAGTCACTTAAATTTCTTTGCTTTGACAGCCACCTTCTGGCTTCTTTTTATGCAACCCAACAGATCTGTGCAGAGACAAAAGTCTCCTTGTGCTCTAAAAGTAAGAGCTGCTTAGAGGCACTTTTTTCAAAACTTCCAGCTTTAAAGTCTTGTCAATATTATTCTTTACATTTCTCTTTATTTCACAGTTACCTATTAGAGTATTTCACTGGCACTGTGACCTCTCTGCAGTAAAGAAAGAACTAGGGGGGTGAACAAAAACATTTGGCTTCATCTGTTTTCTGTTCCTGCACCTCTTCCTGTTTGTTACAGACATCATTAACACAAATCAAGAGCGTTGTCTTTATTTTCTGTTCACTGCAGTCTAAATGAGGGGTTGTATCCACTCCGAAGAAGTACTAACAACATGTCGTGAGAGTCTGATCTTTCTGCCCAAATACAGAGACGATAGATGGCTTTAAATGAATAGTTTTGTTGTGATGGCAACATTTTAAAAAAAACAGGATTTAGTAACCACGTAAAAGATGTTTGTCTCCCAAATACTTATAGCAGGAATGTCAAACTCCTCTTACATCATGAGCTACATACAGCCCACCTTGATCTTTAGTGGGCTGGACCAGAGAAGCTTCTCAAATCTGCCAACACAACTAAATTGTAAGAAGTAAATGTGTGAAAAAAACAGGAAAGGTTGTGGTATTTCACTGCCCGGAAAAGTGAAACTTTACATTATTTCATTATTTTTCTATTGCTTATTTACTTTGGTGTAGTATAAATGGCCATGGTGGAGATCTTTATCTGTAGAAGAAGCTGTAAAACTTGTAAATATACAGTTAAAAATCCAAAGATTTCCTTGAAATTTTCCAAAGCTGCCCAGTGGGGTCAGATTTGAGCTTTTTTCCAGCCAATTCTGGGCCCCAGGTCTATGTTTGACACCCCTGATTTATAGTCTGTGTTATTACTGATAGGTCACCTGTGGTGAATGTTGATATAGTTGTCTTGAACAAAAGAAATTATAATAAAAAGCATTATTTCTATACTTTAAAAAAAGACTGCATCATCAACACATTTCAGAAGCCTTTCCACTGCCTCATTACATGAATTTCTTGTTTACCCATGTGCCACTGTTATTTTACTGACTAGCCTAGATGGCTATATTACGTCTTAAAAACAAAGTGCAGGAAACCTTTTGTGACAGACAGCAGACGTCCACAGGCTTTGGAAGGATAATGGTAAAAGTGGTTTTGGGGCCACTGCCTGAGCACACGGAGCCAAAATACGGAGAATGCAGCAAACTTGTCCAGTTTATATGCAAAATACCCCCCTTGTGATCCAAACCCACCCTTGCCTCTCTCCCACTTATGTGGAGCTGAGCGTGGAGACCCCAACTGTCTCTGTCAGTTTGACTGTTGTACGTCTGCTGTGCAGTCTGACACGGAGACTGACTGGTTACCATGGAGTGGGTCATGGATGTGGGCTGGGGAGCAGTTTACTCAGTAGGCCCCCAGCTTCACTGAAAGGCGCCATGGTTAGGGTGTCAACAGATTATGAGAAGAAACTGAATCAAAATGTCACTTAGAAACCTCAAAATTTGGCACTTCTAATTCTAAGAGGTTTTCTACTGATTAAACCTTTGGACAATGTCCTATGAGAGTTTTTCTATTACTTTTGTGAAGATGTAAGATGAATATGCGAAGAAAGCCGAAATATTCCGCCAAATATAATACACTGGTATAAAGCTATGATGTGGAAAAATCAAATAAAGCTTAGGAGTTGTAGAGAAAGGCGAAGGAAACGGGCAGAATAAAACAGCAAGTTCCAAAAAGTAAACATGTGCCTCGCGGAGGGGGAGGGAGCCAGTGCGTCATTACCAGCGAGTGTGTCGCCCTTCTTCCCTTTAAAATAGTTTTATGCGCCACGCCCACATTATGATTCCCGCTCAGCTGTTACTGTGGGTCGCCTTCAGTTTCCACATGGATCCATTCACGGATCTGCGGGCTTGAGCGTTTGGGAAGTCGCCGTGGGAGACTCGCCACTCCACGCGTCGCTCGGATCCGTCACCTCGTCTGTCAGTTTTGAACAACTTGTTGCGCAGCTGCTATTCCCAACCTCCTCTGTGGTCCATTGCTGCTGCTGCTGCTGCTGCTGCTGCACGCAGATCTTACTCAACCCCAAACGGCCGCTGTTTTTCTCTCTCTCCTGTGCTGCAGGTGAAGACGGATGAAGAAGTGATTTGATCTCAGCTCAGGCGACACAGAGATGACGCTCGGTATCGCGGCCTCTTTGAGCGCCTTCACCATCCGGCGTGGGTTCTTGTGAAGTCTGGGAAGTCCTACGGTGGTTTTTTTTTTTAAGCGTCCCAGCTTTTAATATGATCAGTGAGACGGGGGATGCGAGTCATGAGCTGGACCCGTTGTCGCGGACTGGACTGGAGCCACAGCCTCTTCTGTCTGACTTTACTCCTGTGGACCAGAAACATGAGTGGACTGGCTGACTTCTCAGGTAAGATGATGGTGATGTGGCCCCCCACGTCACAGATACAGGGTGGTGGTGGTGGTCGTGCAGACAATGAGAACACGAAGTATTTCTGTTACAGCAGGTTGGGTATGAGCCCCACTGTTATATGGTGTGTAATAACAGCTGCCAGTGGGGTTGGGTGGCGGGGGGGTGTTATAGATAATGTGGCTGTACTCTTTCTCATTGCTAGTGTTCATGATACAGCAAGAAGGCCTGAATGGTATAATGTAACATCTTAATTCTCTATTTTGTGTCTTCTTGCTGTATTGGTAAAGCTGACAAAATGATTGTGCAGCATTTCTTCTCATACTCTAGTGTTTTATCTGAACCATCTCCCCAGTGTTGGATTTATAAATGTATTTATCTTTAGATACACTGTGCACATGTTCAGCTAAACACCTTGGAATCAGTAAGTAATGTAATGTATAACCGTACAGCACAGGGCGGTTATGTTTGTTGAATGCCGGTTCGGCGAATATGCCCCTTTGAAAAAAAAAAAAAGACAGTGAGTGAGGCAAGACCACAGTGATTTTTTTTTAAAGCAACCTGAGACACCTGCAAGAGCGCCAAAGAGGCCACGCAACCTGCTCTGCAGCTACTGATGCAGTAGATCCAAGAAAAAAAGGGTTTTATTTATGTAGCTAATAAATTACTGCAGTTTAGTTTTTTTTTAATTGAGTACGATTCAGTGAAATTCTGAATGTAATGTGTAAAATTAGCAAAGTCTCCCTTCTGTGCATGCATACATGTCTTCTGTCTAACAGACTACCTGTCCAGGATCATTACGAGCCACTCTGCCCACGCGTGTGATGGGCAACCTCTGCGGCTCCACTGTCCACGCCACTCCACCATCTCCATCCAGTCTGCCTTCTACGGGAGCAGCGAGATGCAGCTTTGCAGAGTAGCTCCACACCCTCCACTCGGGGCACACAATCGCAGCTGCTCAGCTTTCACAGCCCTACAGGTGCATGTTATATGTGGGGTAAAGAGCTGTTTTCACTCTCACTGGGTCAGCTGTTACTTAGTGGCTGCTCGTCACTTTCACACAGTCTCAAAATCGTCATGTCAACCAGCTTGGCTCTTTGCATCTGATGTAGTTGTCCTTCCTTCACTGTGGATGGTGTTTGCTGACTGTCGTCCATGTTTATTGTGCAGAAGCTTTTGTCGGAGTGTCAGAGCCACAGAGACTGCCAGATGCCTGTCAATCACCTGCTATTTGGGAAGGACCCCTGCCCCGGCACTACCAAATACCTCCATGTGGACTACAAGTGTAAACCTAGTGAGTTCATCAGGTCAAATTTTGTTTCAGCACAAGTTTCCTCACACATTCTTACGCGAATAGCTACACGGCCACACATAAAAATCCTCCCCACACCCAGTTTCAGCCATCAGTTTCCTACCACCGTCAGACCCTCCTTCAAGTTGTCTTTACTCCTTTTTTCCCCCTCACTCAGCTGAACACAAAAGACATGTGGTGTGTGAAGGAGAAACCATGGTCCTGCGCTGTAAGCCCCCCAGGCTGCTGAACATCTATGCAGCTGTCTATGGGCGAAGGCTGGGTCACACCGACACCTGCCCCTCACACCTGACAAGACCACCCCCGTTTGGTGAGTTTCTAGCAGACGTTTCCAGGAATGAAAGGTCTCAAGATGCATGAATAAGTTAAAGAGGACGCAGTTTGTTTTACATTTAGAGTACAGCACTGAGAAAGTTTAAAAAGGGCGACATATTGCTTCTCAATATAATTGAATAATTCATTGTATAATCTTGTGACACTTCTGTGTGTGGGACCGTGATAAGGTGGCAGTTTGTGGAGGGATACTTATTTAATTGCTGCTGTTCCCAGACCTGGTTAAGCAGAAGAAAATGCTCTGATGTTATCATAAACAAATATCTGTCTTGACATTTCCCATAGCATGAAAAAGCAGGTGCAGATAATAACACGAATAATGGAATAATACATTTACTCATTTGAGTCCGTCACAGCCATTGTTATCATTTCGTTCTGGGAACATTTCCTGGTGTGACATTCAAACTGTACGTGACTGCTTTCACATTGCACAATGACAGGATACAGTTAGCTCTCTGGATGCTTTTGATTTTATTCAAATTTAACCACAACTATGTTAGTCCTGTGTCACATTGGCGACCTGTCCAGGGTGCACCCCGCCTCTTGCCCTACAATAGCTGAGATAGGCTCAAGCCCCTCCCACGACCCTGATATGGATAAGCGGAAGACAATGGATGGATTAACTACAGTTAATCAATGTTTCTTATTCAGTAACTCTTTTTGCAATTGACTCTTTCCCTGCAGAGTGTCTGAACCACGAGGCCGTACACTTGGTCTCCAAGTCCTGCTACAGCAAACAGAAGTGTGCTGTTCCCGTCAGCAACCAGACCTTTAGGGACCCATGCTTTCCAGGAACCAGGAAGTACCTCAGTGTGATCTATTCTTGTGGTAGGACCCTCTCTGTTTCCTCATTCACCTTCATTGCAACCCCTGTGACGAATTGAACATAGCTATAGTTTTAAAGTAGGAGCACATACACAAAGGAAGGTTTTTGTTTTGGTCTCGTTCTTTACGCGGTAGCTCCATCGGTGAACATTTCTAACTTCCCACTCTGGATTCTTATCAGCTGATCCCAGCCATCAGCTGCTCTTATCCCATCACACCCAAGAGCGCAGTAGCAGGGGAAGATTGGACTGTGAGCAACTGATTTGTGAGTTGGAGTTGACATCCTGATAAACTTCCTGTGATTGGCACAAATGCCATCGAGGTCACATTCATGCATCGTGATTTGGAGCCTGGTGTTGAAAGAATTCTTCTGACTGGATGTGTTGGCTCCATATAGAGCAAAAACAATGTGCGTTAGCCTTGAAGGGCGTTTATTATTAATACAATAGTAGGGAAAGTATTTTTGATCTGAATGTGTAACTCCATTGTAGGCTCAGTTTGGATGTGAGAAGTAGCTTGTTTAAAACGGTCTACTGAGCCACTGAGTCATTTTGTTCACAGCTATACAAAGACTTCTTCTGTCCTTTTCCTAATAGTACCGCAGAGTTTACTAAGGGTGGCAGACCCCAACATAGTAAGCCTCACCTCATCTCCTAGCGTGGGCACAGAAAAAGGTACAATAACGTCATGCCGTCCACGCAGTTCCAAGATTTTATTGTGACTTCTTCACATCGTACTTGTAATCTTCACAATCTTCTCCTGCAGATCTGGAGGAGCCCTTTCCTAAAGGCTCAAGAAGGCCTGACAACTCAGGAGCGATGATGAGCAACTCTCTCCTGACATATGCTTACATCAAAGGTATTGACACACATGCGCTCATGAACTAACTCCCAATCCATGCTTTATCGCAACTCCCCCTCTTTGTTTCCTACACAGAGCATCCTGAAATGGCAGCTCTGCTGTTTACCTCCAGCGTGTGTGTTGGTCTCCTGCTCACCCTGCTGGCTGTATCTGTTCGAGTGACCTGCAGGGCACACTGGGTCAGAGATCACAGACTTGCACCCAAGGCAGGAACCCCTACTGTTAAATATCAGGAAAATGACGAGGATGAGGATGACACAGATGAAGAAGAAGATGACCACGAGGGAACGGGAAGATCTTTGCTCTCAGCCACGGAAAGGAAGGCGATATACAGTTGGGAGGAAGTGACTTATGTGAGCGAAGCGGCCGAGCGGGCGGAGAGGATTGAGCGCAGAGAGATGATCATGCAGGAGATCTGGATGAACGCCTATCTGAATGGCAGCTCGTGTTAAATAACTCATGACCTGTGGATGCTACTCAGCATCTGGTGTTTTTTTCCCAGCAGGTATACTGATCACCACCGCAAGAAGCTCCTTTTTTAACATTGCAGTTTGTTGTGTTTTGCCATTTTTGCGTACAATATGTGAAGAAAAAGTTTTCAAAAGTTTCCATGATCAACAAAGTTTTATGTCTTTTGCATTTATACAGACTCACCACTAAATATAGCTTTAACATTTCAGGCTGAAACATTATTTATTGTAAAAAAAAAAAAAACAGCAAACAAACAAACAAAAAAGCATTCACCAACGACTTTATCAGGTTCACAGGTTAGTACCACGTTGGTCCCCTTTTTGCATTTAAAACTTCATTAATTCTTCAGCAGAGATGCTGACATTTTGATCCATATTTGGTTCGTATTGACATGATAGCATCACACAGTCACTACAGATTTGTCAGCTGCATATCCATGTGGAATCTTCGTTCCACGACATCTATTGGACCAATATCCCGTGACTAGGGAGGTCATTTGAGTGCTGTAAACTCACTGTCAAGTTCAAGATCCAGTGTGAGATGACTTGAGCTTTGTGGCACGGCTCTTTAAGCAGCCATGGGAAGATGGGTACACTGTGGTCATACAGGGACGGACATGGTCAGCTACAATATTTGCGCCAGCCGTGCCAAGGAAATATTCCTCACATCATTACACCATCACTTAATACAATGCATGATGATTTATACTTTAAAGATGTTTACACCAAATTCTCACCTTCAATCCAAACGTCACAGCTGACTGTGATTTTACAGTCTTTACAGTCCAATTTCGATGACCCTGTGTGAATTGTAACCTCAGTTTCGTGCTCATAGCTGACAGGAGCAGCAGTGTGGTCCTCTGCTTCAAAGATGCTTATTTGAGTTACTGTTTCCTATCAGCTAGAAGAAGTCTGGCTATTCATTACTTGCTGTCATGTGAGTGACTGATTAGATATTTGCATCTCTTGAACAGGTGTAGCTAATTAAGCGGCTAGAGGGTGTATTACTGCACTAATTCCTGATCAAGCAGTCTCATAGCGGCTGTGTTTGTGATATAAACCGAAGAACATGTCAGGGAACAGATCCTGTGATCTAATCGTTGGGGCGACCGTGGCTCAGGGGGTTGGGAAGCGTATCTGTAACCGGAAGGTCGCCGGCTCGATCCCTGGGCTCTCTGTCCTGGTCGTTGTGTCCTTGGGCAAGACACTTTACCCTACCGCCTACTGGTGTTGGCCAGAGGGGCCGATGGCGCGATATGGCAGCCTTGCTTCTGTCAGTCTGTCCCAGGGCAGCTGTGGCTACAACCGTAGCTTGCTTCCACCAGTGTGTGAGAGTGAATGAATAGTGGCATTGTAAAGCGCTTTGAGTGCCTTGAAAAGCGCTATATAAATCCAATCCATTATTAAAGAGATCACTAAACTAAGAAATACAAATGCATGTAAAGACCATTTGATGTTTTACAAAAAAAGAATCAGGAGGAGGGGGATTACATTCCAAGGAAAAATAACAAATGTTCAAGTCTAAGGTATTCTCTGAGACTAGTGATAACTTTATGACAGATATTTCCTTATCACCTCCTATTAGATATTCTTTAATTGGATCATCCACTGCGGACTTAATACACAGCAAGTGACAGCACCTTTGGTGATGAGGTTGATATAATCTTCTAGAGTAAAGCTTTGACCAATCAAAAAAGAAAAAACTTTAGGAGAATTTCAGACTTTTTGGAGGCATTTTGTGAAACTTGATAGAACTCTCTGGATAACTGCTTCGTCTCCGTCAAAAGTTCAAGGGGATGACAACTCAGTCTGAACTCTACAGTCCTCCTGGGATGACCTGAACTGTGTGGAAACTTCCTGACTGCGAGCAACTTTCACAGGCGTTTGTTTGTCTCATTACCGAGAAGACAAAGAGAGGAAAGGTGTAGCATCCTTGTCCCTGCACTCCCAGGGATGTAAAACTACTGATATTGATACATTTTTGTGTTCACGTGATCAAAATATAAAAACACGGAATAAACTTTATTTTTTTTGTACAGATTTAATAAAAAACAACATGGTGAAAATGATAAAGGAACACTGGGAGCAAATTTATATTTAAATAAATCAAACACCAGCCTCAGTTTCACATTATGTCAGGATCTGAACTTCAGGACGGTTACAGAGTAGGAGAAACTCCAAGATATAAGAGCACACAGGCTGAATCATTAGTACTATCTGGATGATGTCACATGAGACCAAGAGGAAGCTCATTTTAAGATTTTGAAAAGGCAACTTGTCCAGCTGAATACAGAGCTGTTGAACTCCAGATGACAGAAGTGGCTCCGAGGTGGGTTTGTAGAGTGTTGCTGGTCTTCATCTCGGCCCCCATTTGATATTAGTGAGACCCTGAAACTGTCTTTTGAGGGCCTGCCTGTCTGACCACTCTGAGTCCAGGTAGCTATCATCGTCCGCCTCCTCCAGTTTCTAAAAATGTGACAAAGAAAAGATTAGAATGTTTGTTCAAAGCCAAATGTTTATAACATGTGACACATTTCCTCACCTTGAGCTCTTCCTGCCTTCTGTAATAGTGCATCATCATCTGTTTCTGCTGCTCATTGGTGATCACAGGTTCTCTCGCTGGCGCCCCCTGTCCTTTCTAAAGCGAATAGCAAAAGGGTTTAAAAAAAAAAAAAACCTCTCAAAAACATAATATGTCAGATATGATGAAGGTCACGGGCCTCAAACATACTTTAGATTGAAATGGCTCTCACCTTTTGGATTTTAACCACTAGCTTTGTCTTTTCATTTCTGCCAATGTAGTCCTGCAGTTTTTTGCCCCTCTGCATCTCTTTGGCAGCCCACCACAGCTGGCATTCGTCCTCTGTGATCACCTGCAGAGACGCCTGAGATGAAGAGAAAAGTAGCAGAAACAGTTGAGAGAGGGCGAAGGCAATTTCATGAGCTTCAAATTAATTTAAAAATAAAACACCTTTTTAAAATAACACCTCCAATGATCATACTATAAATGGAAGATAAAAATTCCTATAGCAGTTAAGTTAAATGCTTCTGCTAATTTTATGTGGCCATCAGCCTCCATTTCAGCTGTTTCACCTGTGTTCCTGAAAGGTCTTCCTTGTCCTCTAATTCCATCCTGATTGGGTCGTGAGGAGGCAGCCCCATGGGGTACACGATCATGACCGCCCCCCTTAGCTGATCCAGTGCTTCCTTTATCATTTCCACAGTGACACAAACATTGGCTTGAACTTGTTTCTGCATGATAAAGAGAATGACGTAATTTGTTTGTGACCCCCTTTTTGAACAAAGCAAAAAGTAACGATCAACCGTTAAAGCAAATAACTCACTTTGGAGATGAGCGCCGTTGCAGCCTCCACCGTTCTCATCAGCACCTCTTTCATTTTATCATTAGGCGCTAGTAGAAGGCAAAGGGATGGTTTAAACATGCATTCTTGCAAATAAAAAGGATTGCTTGCAAAATTGTCATCTTTATAAAGGAAATTTGAGTAGCATTATCTACAGCTGTTACATGCTATCAGATATCATTTCATATAATTGCACAAAGTCAGGAAACAAGGCTTTAACTACAGAGCTATATTAAATCATGCAAACCCAAACGCATGTTACAGTCTCACCTTGTCCATTCCTCCTCCCAATCTCATCCTTTCTAAACACAGAGCCTCCACTGGGGATGCACTTTTCTCCCCATTCATCCCTCAGGTTTAGCTCCTCAATCTGCTCCTCTGTCAGCCCCTGCATGTTGGGTGGCAGTGAGATGCCATGGTCTACAAGCTCGGGAATCTCTGAGGACACACAGAGGAACAAGCAGATCTTTGTCAGAGGTCCACTTACAGGATTGAATTATGCTATTTAGGGAACTCAGAGACACGAAACTGGTCAAAATAGAGTGCACCAGCACTGATGTAAAGTTTCAACAGTAGTGAGGTGCAGGTTTAAGTCGTGGCAGCACCGAGGGTGTGTTTTCACCTGAACATAGTCTCTCCACTTTGAGCCTTCCGTTGTAAATGGCAGTAATTTGCTGGATCAGAGTTTCCAGAGGGGTGTCCACGGTGGTGTTAAAAAGAAAAAGGCTTTCGTCTCCACGCTTCACGTGAAGTTGCACCATTTCGCTAAGCAACACCTGCTTACCCCACCTTCCTGAAAGATATGGTTGAAAAAGAAGAAAGTTGGGGCCTAAATGAAACTTGAACACCAACCAACCACTTTCCCTCAGTAGGACAACAGTGCGTAACCATAGCGACAGCCGTGCCTGTCGCGGATGCTTCCAGAACACACGTAGCTAACATTACCTCTATGGAAGCTAACTGTTATGGCTGCTCACAGTGACCAGCTCATACTGTCTGTTGTTATTTTCTCACAGTGACCTACAGCGGTAACACGTACCTATGCAGTAAAACGTGAAGCACTGTGTTCGGTCCCTCCAGTTTAACCTGCGCTCACACTAAATAGCTAACACTGTTTACAACCGGTGGCATTACTTCACAATTACGATTGGTCAGCCCGGCTGCTTTCTTCGACTGTAATTTGGAGGACACTTCGTGCTATAAAAGTTATGACACTGCCCCCTAATGGAGCACAGCGGCAACACTGTGCTCCATTTCCACTGTGCAAAGAGAAACCGGCTAGAAGCGCTCACCTTGTTTGCCATGCTCGTCACGTTAAAATCCTTTCCTCGTTACTCATGATGTCTTAAGGAAATAATTAGGATCTTTTAAAAGTCCTCAATTTAAAATAAATATTATGGAATAACAATGTACTGTATGTTTCTAAAATTTGAAAAGACTTTCCAGGAATAAGGGGCATTTTTATGCAGTCAAAAACCAACAAGTACTCATGTCAACATACATTTATTTATTTTTTGCATACATACAACATAAACTGCTTCATACATAAATGTGCTGTCTGCTGTGCACATAAATTATGGAACATTGGATATTAATGTGAATTACAGCTCCAAGTTTTCACTTTAATACATACAGAATATGTTCCACAACACAGACTCTTAGTTACTATGGATTATAGCCATAAAAAGGGACACCAACCTCACAAAAGGAGCATTTTATTTCCTATAAAATGTCATCTCGAACTGTGACATGACACAAAGCGCTGGCTAGTCACCTACTGTTAATGCAGATACAGTATCTACTGCACACTTTGAATAACACAAATGCATTTTAGAGATGACACTTACATGTAAGCAGAGGCAGCCGATACACTTGCTTACATAGAGAGCTACTGCCTTCATTGCAGTGAATGAAGATTATCTTTGCGTATTTTACAAGTGTTTGAACAGAAAGCAGAAGCATTAGTTAGGTGGCGCGTTCATAAATCTGATGTTCATCTTTCATGAACCACTGTAATGCTTTTCAAATAACATAATTCCTGAAGGCTGGGGGAAATGGCATGTGTCGAGGCATGGTACCTGTTGCTCATCCTTCTGCAAATCTATTGCTTATCATCACCGTCAACGTTAACGCTGACTAACAGCAGTGAAAAAGTGAAGTAGGTAATACAGGACAAAATACTGACACATCACCTCTGACAACACACACGCACACACACCTGAAGAATGGTTACGATATCAGTGAGGCTCAGTCATAAAACACCCTCAAACAACTAAGGGATAGATATCACATGTGGATCAGAAAAAGCTGAGATTTTGACACCCAACACTCAAATCAAACTTCTGTCAGGAATGTGGGCCACATTGGAAATGTGTTCTGCTGACGCACCTGGGTCTGAGCAGAGTGTGTAGTTCAGTCTAATGAAGTCAGTCAAGATGGTACTCAGAGTACTCAATTGTACAGAGGCATTCTTATTTAGATGGAGAGTGGCATGAGAACCCCCCGAAACAGTCCTGTCTTGTATTGTCAACATTGCTGCGTAACAGCCTGTGTGTAGCCTCTGGCAGGCTGAGGGAATACATACACAGCTGCAGCCAGGAAAAAAGTGAATACAGTAGCTGTTAGTGCAGAGTCTGTAAGGAAATACACCGCTTATACTCAAAAGGGAAAAGCTCCGGTATTCCACTCTTAAGTCTGTACACGCACTCACATCCAAATACAAACACTGTCAAACACGATAAGAGACGAGTATGCACTTCAAACACATCACTTCTCACCACAGTAACATTACGATTATTCAGAATAAGTTCTATTAGAAATAAGAAGCATCTTAAACAAAGACTAAAGTGGAAAAAAAAAGAAGTGCCCTCTTGTTGATGCATGGCATGTGCTTGCTGCCATGAACACAGCTCACATCATCTTTGTACTGTAACACACACACACACACACACACACACACACACACACACCACATTCTTTAATAGTTTAGTGTGATGCTTTGGATGAATCAAGAAGGATCAAAATAACAAAAAAAAAAAAAAAAAATGCTCACTCAGTCTTCAGGCTCAACAGCCAGGAGCGCACACGCAGTGCATTTCAGTTACTCTATGCAAACCACTGACACTGGTCAACCCCCGCCCCCACACACACTTAGCAATTATTTTCCATACTGGAAACACACATTTATACATAACTTCTATGTATAGGTTTTGATAGAGGGCTACAGAATATGTTCAGCTAAGCGTAAGAAACCTGAATGAACAGAGAGAAAACAAAATGCATTTCTATCAGCTGGATGAGATGATATTAAAGAGCATGGCTCCCTGGGTGAGCAGTCACATTAACTGACCTGTGCTGTCTTTTTCCACACTGTGGCTTTAGCAAGGAGGTGATGACAACCTCCAGTGCAAAATAAAGTACATTCATGATAAAAGCAAGCATACCATGTAATGCTTCAATTTTTATCTCACATACAAAAGAACAGAAATAAAACGTAGAATTAACTATATTTGCAAATCAAAGAAAACTGCTGCGGACAGCAGCAAACATCGGGGCAAATGTAAACCTGCAGTGCATAACCTTCTGTGACGATACTGTGAAAAGTAGATCAACTCCGGCGAGGAGCTCATTCAAAATGAAGGATATGAACCGTGGTGTGCAATTTTAAAAGTTACACAGGTTTAGGTAAAACTTTGCAGGCAAATGCAGCGTGGTGCACGGCCAAGGAATATTTTGATATTGCACAAGTGACTACACAAATGATTTGTGCGTATAGATATACTTTGATTAACATACTGTAGACACAAGCACATGTTTGCTGCCATGAATAAAAAATAACGATCAGAATGATTCTTAGTAAAATAAGTGTTAATATCCGGGAACGTAAAGTCAACAACACACTTTTGGGCTCATACTCTTCTCATCGTACTGCTTGAGGTACAAAGCCTTTCCTGTAATTCAGAAGGGAATTGGTCTATACTTCTTAAATACTGTCTCTTTTGTACATACACACATATACACATTTATCATAGATCTATACATATCTGGATATGCCCTTTACATATGAACTGTGATTCTATCTTTCCATTAAATCCCTGGGGAATAAGCCGTTGTCACTGGGTCCCTCTGGGAGCTTTGGGTTACTGGTTGCAGTTCTATTTGGGATGGGAGGAGAGAGGGTCGGGATTGCTGCAGGCATGGAAGATAACCACTCTGGTTCTAAATTAAACACAGAGCTGGAAGGCTGCATCTGAGTTTGGGGCACGAGGGAACTGGGAGGAAAGACTGGGTTTTGTGAAGTTTTGCTGGGAGGTTGAAAATCATCATCGAAAGTGACCCATTGCTTAGCTTGCTTTGCTACTGGGCCAGGTGGCTGGTGTCGAGGCGCGACGGCAGGTGGAAGAGATGAGGGTGCCACCATGGGTAAAGTGGGAGGAGGAGATGGGTTAAGGGTAAGAGGGAGTAAAGAAGCAGGGGCAGGATTAAGACTGGATGATGGTCCAAACAGAGACATGGTCTTTTGGAGTTGGGTGGTGGGTACAGCTGCAGGAGCTCCTGTTTGAGCTGGGGTGGGTATCAGTGGTGGAGTAAGAGACACAGTTCTCTGAGGGTTTGCTGTTGGAGGCGAAAGCTGAAAAGTGAAGTCAGGTGTGAGCGGGCGATGCTGCTGCTGCACCAGCGGGCCAGTGAAGGGGTTGGTGCTGCTGGGTCGGGCAGGAAGTGGGTCAGCTGAGAAAGGGTTGGGGGAGGCGCGTAGCGTCTCCTGAGAGCGACTGCGAGACGGGAACGGAGGAGGAGGGAGCAGCGTCGAGGCAAATGGTGACGGGGTGGAGAGTGAAGAAGAAGAGGATGAATCAAAGGCTTGCAAATCTGCTAGAGTGGAGGACTGGTGGGAGAAGGATGATGGGAGAGTGGTGGAGGAAAAGACAGCTGGCGTACGCCGGGAGGATCCTCTGGTCAGTGATTGGGTGGTGTGCCAAGAGGATGAGGAGGACAATAAATCAGATGCAAGTGTGTCAAAGGGGTCGGGCTTCCATTGTGCTTCTCCTTGAATCCCATTCAGTCCGTTTGTCTAAGAAAGGACAAAACAAAGAAAATGCTTCTGAGAGACAACAACAAATGCACTGTGAAGATACGAACCACGCACTAATATGACTGGAGTACTTAACTATCAAATGAACCATATATTTTAAAACAAATGTTGAAGGGACCCCTTGGTTATTCCTTGTAAACAAACTTGACTTGAATGACATTCCTAACACAACATTGCCGAAGCTTTTTCCCCCCTCCAACTTGTTTCCCCACCCATAAATGGTGTGACACACGCGCACACACACACGCACACACGCACACACAGACTCTACAAACATCACTAGGATCTACAAAAAAATGGTTAAAATAAAACAAATCAAAGGAAATGTCAAAAAAAATTCTGATGTCATTGGATATGAGCTCACTCAACATCTGCAGCACAGTGAACCCATATGAAAGGACAAGTGACAGGAAATGGATAACAGTAAGCATAACATTTTCATCTGTTTTTCTTTTTTTCCCATCCTTCTCAAATCTTTTATGGTTTTTTTATGGTATGTTGACGGACAAAAGAAGTAAAAACAAATGACGCTCCGCTTTATGAGCCTAACACACAAACACAAAAAATATGCAAGGCCTCATAGGAGAGCAAAACATTCAGGTTTGGCATTAAAAATAAAATCGATTACAAAATAAGAAAAAGGGAAGTTACTGGGTTTAATGTATGAAAGGTTTTAACATCAGGACTGTGCTATGGGTGATGAGACAAAAAGGTGGTTTAATATTAAGTACCTTTCACCCTGAGGGCTTCTCCAGCTTGTGAAAAAGAGACAAATGTATCAGAAAGAGCAAAGCAGGAAGAAAGACAAAGAACACTCAGCTCATCTGACAGAAAAGGAAGCAGAAAAAGATCTTTTTCTATTTTTGTAGTCTTTAACCCACATCAGTTTCATAAGTAGGTGTACAGCATCTTATTTAGTTAACCGGAGTTCAAAATCTGTCAAAGCAAACCCAAACAGCAATCTGGAAAAATAATCTCATTGTACTAATTAAATAATTGTGTAAGTGTGTGTTCACTACTTCCAATAATTAAATGAAAAGAAAGTTGGCAACTACCTGTGCAGCTGGGGCAGTCTCAGACTTGGCAGCGTCAGGCGGCAGAGCATGAGAGGAGCGGGAACGTGGTGGGGGTTTAGGAGAGGCTAAACTCGGCTGAGGCCCGGCGGGGGCGGCAGCAGCAGGTGCAGCAGATGGACCTGCTGCTTTAGGGGCTGGCGCTGGCTGTGGCTGGAGAGGAGCTGGAAGTGTGGGCTGCATTGGAGGTGGAAGCTGAGACTGAGCTGGAGGGGCAGCTGGCTGAGGCTGCATGGGAGGCTGCATGGGTGATGAAACCTGGGGCTTCACTGCAGGTGGAGCTGCAGGAGGTGCTCCTGAGGGTTGAGGACCTGAAGAAGTGAGGCAAGAGTGAGGAAACAGAAAACGGTTAAGGCTTAAAGTTGCTGTGTCACAACAAAAGACTTATTAATCAAATTTCCAGGTTTATTTTTTTCTGTGTATAATTAAATTAACTGGACATTTGAACACCTCTAAATGTAGCCTCTGTCTGAGATGGGCTGTTTTAGCTCCCGTCTCTTTTAGCTGTCCTTCCTTTGAGCCTAACATGTCCTGACTGGCTCGCAATAGGAACCTGCCCCTCTAAGACTTTTGATCCTTACAGAAACAAACAGTGGTAGCTGGATTTCACCAATTCATCTTGTTCTTTAATCAAAATGGCAATTTATTAAACACACCAGAAGCCGTTTTAGTTTGAAGGACGATTTTGGCGACATTTTTCACATTGGAATAGCTCAGTAATGCCCCACTATCGAAAATATAATTCATTAACCTCTATGAAAACATATTTCTTTACCCAGAGGCAGGTCAGCTGGTTTGGTCTGGGCACTGGGCACAGGTCGTGGGGCTCCAGGGTGGGTATCTGAAATAGGGCGAGGGGCCCCGGGATGCACCTCTGGAATGGGCCTTGGTGCTCCAGGGTGAGATGGAGGTGGTGGGCGAGACTGAGGTGTCACACTGATTACCCCAGCTCGAGGAGGGATATTCTGGAGGGTGAAGAAAGAAAAGTGAATAGAAATTAAGAGGTGGGCAAAATTTAAAAAAGAAGGAAAAAAGAAAGAATGATGATAAATCTTAAGTATTAAACTCACTGGTCTGGAAGCACCTCCTGGTCCAGGTGCTCCTGCTGCTGTCTGCCCTCGACCTGAGAGACAAACAAAGTGTAAGATAATTTGTTCCAAACAATACTGACCATGCAGGGTGTGCCCTGTAGGTTGAGATTCACAGAACAGGGACTTAAGATTAATAAGTTCAAGCTAAAGAAAATTTTAAAACGGCACTAAATATCATTCGAACAGACTGCAAACTGACCCAAACCTATGACAGACCAAATTCCCTGTGGCTGACTTTATAATTAATGATGACTCAGTCATTCCTGAGCTGCAGGAGGTCTGGGAGAGAGGCAGGCCTTGTTCTGTGAGCCAACTGCTTACCACAGAGAAAGCATACTCCTCATCTTTCACTATTCTCTTCTTGAGCTCCTCTCAGAGCCTGCAAACATTTTTCTCACGCCACTTGGATGTCTGTCTCTGTCTAACTAACTCCGTTAACTATACAGTTACCCCTGCCAACCACACGCACCCTTAATGTAACAGAGAAATTTAGCTAACCAGAGTCACCATCCTCCAGCCAAGGACAGGCGTATTTTGTATCAGGGTATTAACACATACCCAAGTAAAACACAACACAAAGATAAGCTCCCTTGTCTTTAATAGTATATGGATGCTCAGTGAAGCTTTGCATGCTATCAGGCACTCACCTGCAGCATCTGGCCGAGGAAGAGCAGGGCTTTTTTGTCCTTTGCAGCACAAAGGAAACCAAACCACATTTTGTTATACACAAACTGGGATAGTACTGATGGCCCCAAGGATAGTACGGTATAAAAAGCAGTAGCAAAAGCATATGCTGGCAATAATGCAGCAGTGCAGTGAAGCATGTGATGCTGTGAACACCCACCTGCCACCTCCAACTTATCAAAAGGGATTAGCCAAACTGAATTAAAGACCACCTCAAAGACCAAGAGATTTCCCTTCAACTCACATCATCTCCCCAGTTTTGACGACAACAATCAGACAACTACTCGTTTAGTCCGTAATGACAAATGACACACTTGTCAGGTATCCTTTTCATCAGTATGTGCAAATGGTTTTTAACAAAGTATGGAACTCATGACCCCGGATTTATTTTCATTGTCCAACTTTTTATACAGTTGTAAAATATATTTCTAGAACCCAATGACCTCTGGTGGATGTCGTGTACTGCCAGTGAATATTAAATGGGAAGGAAGAAATATAACCTAACCTGCAACACATCTCTCTTTCTCAAACACGCACACACAAGATTAAAAAAAAAAAAACCCAGAGTAAAACATCTGTAAATCATCAATGTCATAAAAAGTCTAATTCACATTGATGACCGGGCGCAAAAATACAGGGATCTAAAAACAACTCCTCTCTGGTTACCTTGACTGCCCCTCCTACCAAGCCGTGGTTTGGGAAACTGGACACAGTCTTAAAGTCAAAGAGGGAAAACGATGTTTTGAAAATAAAGTACAGAAGGACACATGATAACCAATTTATTAAAACCAAAATTACCAAGTTTTGGTGTTGTTGAAACATCATGACAATGTCTACTATGTATATATATGTATATTACATACTACTCAGAAATCAAATAAATACAAGAAAGAGTAACCAATATCTAAAACACTAAGAATACTGCAGGACTCACAGAGGGAGTACAGAGGGGGAGACACTAATGACTATATAAGAATTTATATCAGGGGTATCAAACATAAGGTCTTGGGGCCATAACTGGCCTGCCAAGACTCCAACCTGTGAAGGACGTCATACATTTTTATCTTTTAACTGCGTTTTAAAAAGTTTTACTGCTTTTCTTACTGATGAAGACCTCCACCATGGCCATTCACAACACATCAACATAATAAATTATAATTAGTAATGTTACACATTTACTTTTTAGAATTTAAGCCCAAAGAGTCATACGGACAGATTTCTTACCACACCAGCATTTCATTATAACGTAGCAAAACTGAGACCAAATGTTGAAAATAAAACTTCTTTATGCTGACATAAATCACTGGTTTCACCAGTCTGACCCATATCAGATCTAAATAGGTTGTATGTGGACTGCAATGTAAAAAGAGCTTGACATCCCTGATTTGTATCAACTACAAAAAACAAACAAATAAAAAAACCACACACACACACACGCACTATGGGAAGTACTGGGAGGATGCACATTTAAACTTGACCTAAGTGGTCTTCAGCACATTTCAACTGACAAACTTCATAAACACAGTTAATCTTGTAGCTACTCCCCGTAAACCAACAGATCCAAATATCTCATTTCAAGTTTTCATGACACCCCAGCTGAAAAGCTCCAGCTAAATCCACAGTCCATCCAGATGTGTGTACATTCATTAAGGTGTGAAAGGTATGTGTTGCATTAGCGTTGCAGCAAAAAAACATAAATTTGGGAGAAAAATATTGTGTGTAAATTAAACTTAACTATAAGCCAATTTCAAAAGAAATGCCTTTAAGCCTGAGCAGCTCTCAGTTAGCAAAATTAAAAAAAAAAAAAAAATCAGACTATATAATGTTAAGTTATATATCCAGCACAACGTCTGGTGTTATTTGCTCAAGAGCATCTCTATGACAGCTGAGCATGGATGGCCAGTAATTATTAATAAGCTTTTTGTAATATGTTATTCCTACAAAGCTTGTTTGTAATTAAACTCTAGAAGCAAAATGGTGACAATATTCAATATTTACATTAATCTGAAATCTCATAGCATATTCTTGTTTTACAGCACACACACACACACACACACACACACACACACACGCACACGCAAAGACTAAATGTTCCCAAATCAGCACAGATTCATTGCTCCTGTCTGCGTGCAATTCAAATGAAAAACAGCATCTGCTACATCCAGTGCTTACACACATCAACTGCACAGCAATCACTTTACCTCCAGAGTGCCTTCTAATTGGCTCAGGGCTCATGCCTCCTTTAGAAATAAGGCAAAGCATGCGGGAAAGTGAAATTGTTAGCATCTGCCTACGTGCCATACAATACCAGGGAAAAATATTAAACTACAAATTAAAATCCAAACTTCAAATTAAAGATTTATTTAACAATTTTTCTCTGCATAGCTCTAATGGAAAACAGCACTTGCTAAAAGCAAACGCATACGTAATGTAAGCATTTAACTACATAGCAATCACTTTACCTCCAGAGCTCCTTCTATCTGGCAGAGGGCTCATGCCTCCTTCAGATATCAGGCAAAGCATGGAAAAAAGGTGAAAATGTTATTATCTGCCTATATGTCACAAAACCAGGCAGAATAATTAAAAAACATATTCAAACTTCTAATTAATGTTAATTTTCAGCTGCGTAGCTGGCATATAAAACAGTGCCTACTGCATGAAATGCTTAAGCAACCTAAGCATTTAACTGCACAGCAATCACTTTACCTCCAGAGTACCTTCTAACTGGCAGAGGGCTCATGCCTCCTTCAGAAATAAGGCAAAGCGTGGGAGAAAGTGAAAATGTTAAACTCCACAATGCAATACCAGCCAGAAAAATCAAATCTACAAACTTCCACTTAAAAGTGACATCTATTTTCTCTAAGGTTGCCTGCTTATTTGTTCTTAAAAATCAGGCTTCAATGAAATGTATGCATAAGACTCCAGAATTTACTCTACCTGAAGGTGGTGGTGGGCGTTGTGGAGGTGCTGGTCTGGCAGGGGGGGCGTTGGGGCGAGGAGGAGGTGGACGTTTGGGCTCCAGGCCTTGAGCTGTGGGGGCACCAGGCTGGAAGTCAACAGGAGGCCCTGTGAGGAAAAGATATACATGTAAGAGGTAAATTTATTTATTTTAAAAAAAGTAAGTAGATTAAGTGACAATTTTCACCATTTCCAAATGGGTTGAGAAAATGTATTCCTGCCCAGTTTAGAGACATTGTGAAAACATGCACATTTTCCCCAATGGTTCTTATACAATTTCTTGATCTAACAAAGCACCTGTTTAGTTTGGACTTAAGAAAAGATTATGTTAAAAATGTCACTTAAACAAAGAGAAAAAAGTAGTTTACTGTAATATACACATCATCTGCCAACACTAAACATAAATTACATCATCACGTATAACATTCCCTGATATTCCTTCCTCAGTTACAATGGACTTCAATCTGCTCCCACACATTACAAACAACAAAATTACAGTTTACATTCCAGCAGACACAGACCGCCATGAAAGCACTTCTTTACTAAGTGCCGTATTTACCTTGTGATGGTCGGGAGGGCTGTGCTCCACGGCTAGGTCTGCTGGGTGCAGCAGGTTCTCCATGGGTGGGGGAGGGACAGGGGCTACTCCTGGGCGAAGGGAGAGGGGAAGATCCAGGGCCAGTCCCTGCTCCAGGCTGCAGGTGCTGAGGAAGGATCTCCTCAACCTCCTCGTCCACATCACCTGGTACGGGACACAAGAGGGCATGAATTAATAACTGGAAACAGTGCCCTACAGCCATCATTTATAGTGCACATTTTTCAGGATAAGGACTGGGATTGCTTGGCAGCCATTCTTCACCTTCCATGTCGTAATCATCATCACCCACGTCTGTATCTTCAGCAAGCAGGGTGGAGCTGGCAGATGTGGGAATGCTTCCACAGATCCTCTCCACACTCATCTCTTCCTCCAGACTCTTGATCCAGCCTGGACTCTTCAGACGGATATCGATCACCTTGCCAAGGACCTTAAATGTAAACCAGGTGATACAGACAAGGCAGAATAAAGAGAGTAGTTACCACATACGCCACTGACAAGATAGAAAGATGATAGATATTTATATGAGAGTTTAATAGTGATAGAGATTTAAAAAATTTTGTCTTTTAGCTTTGGAATAATTTTATACTCGTGAAGACTTACAGTGGAAGCACTGAGAGACAGAGCAGCTAGAGCAGAGTACCCTTCCAAGAAAGTCACCCACATCTTCTCCTCAACGAACCTGCCCAAACAAGGCCACTGTCAATACACACTAACCATCTGAAGGTGATATGCCTGCCTCTTTGTGTTAGGATATCAGGCTCACCTAATGAGGATAACTTCTCCAAAATTAGCAAACTTTTCCAGCAGCTCGTCTATGAGTGCATCATCAAAGTAGTCGTCAGGCCCGGAGGAGCAGAGTGACACCAGAATGGTGCCATCTGGAGGACCCTGCCGGGCAATGACATCCTTGTAGACCTGATGCCGAGCCTCTGGGTCCACTTCTAGGATGTCCACATCTATCACTGCCACCACAGGCCTACAGATAGATACAAGGGAACGCAGGTCACTCCGATGATAGCGGCACTTGATTTACAAAAAAATGCCACATTTTAACCACTGCTGTTTCTAATCTATGTGATGAGATAGTTTAACTTTATAAAGTTTAATCTAAACCTTCACACTTCTATGCATACTGTGAGTTACCTGTGGTCTGAGGTCTTCAGCTCAGCCCTTCCGTAGTACTTTAAAGTGCCAGGGCTCCAGGTTTGTTCTACATCATCATCACTATCTCTAGATGAAGAAGCTGCTCCTACTATATTCATCTCCTCGGCTGTAAAAAAAAAATACACAAACACAAATATATATCAATGCAAGCATATCCTCTGAGCTCCTATTTCTATTTTCCCTGTGTTGCTTTAGAGATCTGTAATAAAAGGGGAAAATAATTTGGTTTAGATAGGTTATACACAC